CACCATTCTAACCGTCAATATTTTGAAATATATAGACAATTCAGCTCAACTTGAATATTAACACATGCCATTGGGCATAATGTCACTTTTTTAAGTTATCAATACACATAGAATGTAAACATTAATATAACTATATTTTAGTAAGTATAATAACATTGAGCTTTGAGATATTCAGATGCATACAAGCAAGTCTGCACATCGGTACAGACTGAGCCGGTTCTTTATTTATGGCTGACTAACGACTAACTTTTAAATTAGAAATCTATCTTGATAATTATCCCAGACAGTTCTAAAACATGGAGGCTTGAAAAGTGCATATACCAAATTCTGCAGGTTTAGATTAGGCTTGAAATGTGATTTTGTCAAGAAATTGTTGTGTCTTTGTTTATCCCAATCGCTCCTCCCACATTACCGCCCCTCCCCCATCCCTCGCTCCTCCCCCATCCCTCGCTCTTTAGATTTGAAAAAATGTACATTCTTAGCAATGTCAGAATTGTCAGCTGCACAAGTTTAATATTTTTTGTCTTGCAGCCCATCGCATGACCTTTTCTAATACATGTAGGATTAAAGTCGAATATAGAAATTAACTGCGTACTTTGGCAAAAATGTCCCAGGTTAAGTGTGAAATAAATCTCCCATATTTAATGCATATAAAACGTTTTTGCAACGTTCATGTTTTGCAAAAATCATATAATTCTATTATATCACGAAATGAAAAGGAGAAGAAAACTGTACTGCAGTAAACTTATATTTTTCCAAGAAATTATATAAAAAATTATGATCTTTAGAAATTCTCATAGTAGGAAGACTGATATCCCGCTTGGTTGGTTTGCGGTATTATTGTAAAAACAGTTGTATATTAAGCTTTTACCCCATGAGCATATTGCGAAAAAATGCCGTTTTCATTGAAAAGCCGTCGAAACACGCTTATATAAGGAAAAAGGTTAATCAATTCAAGACATATGTGTGAAAATTAGCCTCATTTGTAATAAGGATATAGGTATATTTTTATTTAAAGTCTGCCCTTATAAAAGGGCGGACAATTCTTTGTCCCTTTCTCGTAAAAGAAGGGGAATCCTGTGATAAGTGCAGACTTTGTAAATAAAGAGCTTGAAAAGCCAAAATCTAAAATAAACACATAATTTGAACTTTGTAACTTATTACTAGGTTTTATACAAAAAATAAATAAGAATTTTATTTCTCATAGTATTTTTTTAAAACTTCTTATGAGGACATGCACAGCCCTACTTAATATGTAGATATTAAATAATAAATATTTACTCACTGTTTATTGTAATTTAATACCACAAGCTAACTTAATTTTATCATAAATGAAATCTTGCGATATTTAACAGTAGTGTGGCAAGGGAATATATGCGACATTTAACGTTACCAAGGCGACATTTATCGGCAGAAGATTGTGCGATATTAAGCAGTGGTTGCGACATTTCGCGTCAATGGTGCGATTTTTAGCGACAAGTGCGACATTTAGCGGACTTGACATGTAACCGCGCCACACAAATTCCGTCATTAACATCGGTCTATAAATTAAAACTTATGTGCGTCTACATGAGCATCAATAAATCGGTTCATGACAACCGCCTTCTATAACAATTAAATGTTATGCTAAAGTTGACAATATTTGTCCCTTAACGCTGTGGGTTTAAATCCCTCCAGGGACTTTGGATTCTTTCATGTGTTGAAGCTATCCAGCAAGCTTATAGAACGTTGGTGGTCCTACTAAAGTCCCGAAAATAAAACACGAAAATGCATCTGAGGTCTTCCTCTACCAGGAAAGTCACCAGATGATCTTTACTGTGTTAGTACAACGTAATTGGAAAAAAAATATTGTCAAGTATCAATCGACCGAATTGTGAGTCACTGTAACCATCAATTGTACTTTCACATGTTGTCTATCTAATAATGAAACTGTATTATATCAATTATAAGAAGATACAATATGAATACAGCTTCCGCTTCTCGGTATATCATATTGTTGATTCACGGAAATTAAACTTGTAAAAGCACTTAGATTCCGGATGTATGAGTTTTATTTATATTAATATCAACATATGTAAATATAACATAACGCCAGCTTCAATATATTAGCGACTGTTTTTGGTAGTTATTATCAAGTTAAGAATGAAATATAAATAGTGAATAGGAGTTTAAACAGTGATTTCGTCGAAATAGGGTTACTTTTGATGAAATAAACTTTCGCCAGGTGAATGTTAGTGTGTTTTATGGAAGGATGTGAAACAGGACGTTATAATAAACACTTTTAATGGTGAAAAACTTTTTTTCGACAGAAGAGCCAGAAAATGCCTATGTACTGTCTATAAGCATTGTTAACTTGACAATTGATCAGTGCTCAGCAGTGTTGGTTTGTTTTGGCAGCAACTATTACAATTCAAACGGAAGAGAAGTTTGTATATTCACGAGAAATTCGAAGACTTTCCTGTTAACCTTTGACCACTTTGGTTAAATATGACAGATTATTTATATTCGGTCAAAAAGCTGGTCGATCGTTTGAATTTGCAGTCATCAGATAACTATTCAAGAAAGAAAACTAAGATTAAAATCCCCATGTATGACGTATCGGGCACGTGCATATCCGGAAATGAAGCAGAAGTACGATACCGGAACAAGAACGGAGGCAATGAAGTCAGTAGCAAACGCAAGAAACGCAGGCCCAAAACAGAAATTTCAGATCCACACACCCGTCGCCAGTCTTTGTATCAGGTTATTAAACTGAATAAAGAGAAATTAGCAGGAAAACATGGCGGAGAGAGTCCGTATTTGAAGTCACCGGCAACGACAGCGTCTAATTCTCCAGCGTCCTCGCCTTTAAACAACAAAAATAAAACAATTTTTGAGTTCAATATATATAATACTAGTGATGATGAAAAGAGGGATAGTGATTCGGGTTCATGTGCTATTTATAGCGGACAGAGAAATCCAAGGTGCGAGGACAAAAACAGTACATTGTTACTGAGCCCTGATATTTCATATGTAACCAAACCAAACTCTCCAAACAGATTACATTTAGAGAAATGCATCTCATCAAGCAGCGATAAATCTGTCATTCCTGAAGCTGAGCAGCTTAGATCTCCTTCGCCCTACGACACAGTTTTTCAAGACTGGGAAAGTCCAAACTGCAGCCGAAAGAACAGTGTAACATCCCGCCAAAGATTGTCAATATCAAAAAGTGTGCCGCTTTCCCCGCCTATACCAAATGCAGAAAGATCCGCTCAACAATTTTGTAACTTTCAGTTAAAGCTCGACACTTTAAGAGCAGAGCTGGTAAGATTATAATGATATTTCTTTTTTTACATTCCCAGCAATATGTATGCCATTTTAATTAACACCGTATAAAATATAACCAATACACTTTCAGTAGTTGCGTCATATGATGTGCCAATAGAAATTATCATTCATTTGGATCCAATCTTATCAAATTAGCCTCGTTTCCATTTTAGGAGTTCAAAAATTAATGCCAAATCTAAACCATACCCCTTGTAGCCTCGTTTGCATTTCAACAGTCCAAAATATTCATATCATATCCATATCGCATATTTCATTTTTGAATTCCATAATCCATATCAAATTATTATTGCAACTGAAGTAACAAAGTTATGTCAAAATGTCAAAAAATGGTTGAGTCATTAAAAAATACTGATTCTGTTGGACTCGTACACACCTACAAAAACATAATTATCAGATTTGGATAGCCCTTGTCCGATATAGTTTTGACAGCTGTGTACTTATCCAACATTATTCAGTATTGTACTCTACAATGTATAATAACCTCATAATTTTATAATTTTCTCGTTTACTTTGCAAAGAGACTCGGGACTTTATTAAACTAGTCTATGGGAATACCCGAAGCTTCCCACTGATTGCCTGTGTAATAATTAAGCCAAAATAATTATGTATCCCCCAAACTTAACATTTGCTCGTAAAAGACACATGTACTGGTAAGGTGTATAATGTAAATTTGAGACCGATATAAATGAGCTCCATCTTCACAATATAAATGAGATTAAACATATTTAGAGATACTATGTAATCAAATTTTTCAATTATGAAGTATTTAAAGACACTTAAAGAATATTCATACACGTATAATATATATTTCAGCTCTCCAACTAAAAAAATTAATCAACAGCTCGGTACACGCTACATAAGCTCCATCTTCACAATATAAATGAGATAAAACATATTTAGATATACTATGTTATCAAAGTTTTCAATGACATGTATGACATATTTAAAGACACTAAAGAAATATTCATACACGTATAATATATAAATGTAATATTTCAGCTTGCCATGAGGAAGGCGGACCAAGAACTCGCAAAAAAGCTTCTAAGCTTGTACTCTGAAATCCAATTTTTAAAAGTGAAGAATTCCTGTATGAATTACAGCGAACTAATTGACGAGGCGGTGTACGAGGCGGAAATGGCGGACGATTTTCCAGACATGTGTGATGCGCCCCGGAAGTTCGCGAACAAGTTACTGACCAGCCATGGCGTTACTAGTTTTAACATTCATTCTAGACGGTTTTCTTGCAGTTAAATTAACAGATATGTAATTAAACAGTTTGATTAATAAAGTAAGCGTTATATGTTTTTGATACTTACATTTTTCTTAATGACAAGCCAACAGCACTGTAACACTAGCTTTGGGTGCATTTTTACCATACAGTACCTATTGATATTCAGTCATTTCACCAACACACATAGTGAAACATATTTAACATCACTTAATGGAGATTAATCCCAGCTTTGTACTAGTTAAAACACTGCTTAATTGCAAACGAATTAAGTCCATAAACACTTTTTGTGACTATCTAAAAACCCACGTTGGTATGTGACAAAGCCCGTAAATTTAAGAAACTAATAAACCCCGCATAAATGAGTAAACACTTCAGCCGACACAAATCTAAAAAAATTCTAATCCACAATCAATTTAAATCAGATTTCACTCCCAAAATCATTTCTTATAAAACAACAAAGACTGTCGTTTGCCAGATATATGTATGACAGGTGTCAATAGCTTGCCATATGAAATAGACATGGACCGCCTCCGTGGTCGAGGGGTTAGAGTCGATGACTTCTAATCCAGTTACCTCTCTGGCGTGGGTTCGATCCCCAGGAGATGCTTTGGTAGTTTAGCGCGGAGGAAGGGAGTCTAGTACTGGTGTAACTCTCCAGGAACGATGGTTAGGAAACTACCCGCCTATATGACTGAAATACTGTTGGAAAAAGGCGTAAAATTAAACAAACAAACAAACAAACAAACATATGAAATAGACATCATTTGATGTTAATTTCAGACGAAAATAACACGAGGTCAAATTTAATTTAAATATCCCTGTATGTTGAGAAAAAAGTATTAAGCAGAAAAATTACATTAAATACTTAACAAAAACAATAATTATGATAAAAAAGCAAAAATATATTTGTATTTATTGGGATTATTCTCTGTAAATGACTTGCTATGTAAGTATACTACTCTTTTTAACAAGTATTCACTGTTGTTCATATACATGTATCTCAAGTTTTTTTTATCATGTATGATGCACTGAGAGAAATAAAGAATTTGACTTTAAAGAGTTTGAAATATAGCAGCAACCTCAAATTCTCGTCCTTTTCCGTCAAACTTCGGATAGCCGATTTTAGATTATTGGTGAGGAGTTCCGAATGCATGATAACGCGCTCATGTGAAATAGAAGTGCTTTGAAATATAGTTCTAATAAATTTGTGGCGCCACGAACCAATTTTCGCAATATGCCATTTCCTATCCGAAACCTTATTCACTCAGAATTTCCGTAACATGCTCAACTTCAAAGCTGTTTTAAACAAACATAAAAAATGTGTATTACGGCTTAAAGGCATGAAAAAGGCAAATACCTCATGAAAACCAATTCATGTCTAAGGAGAGGAGTTTGTTCTTCACTTGTCAGAAAACTTTAAATATTTATATTCTTTTCTTAAAAAGAGGATTTAAATATATATGATTGTACACTTTATTTAGATAAATATATATTTATAAGAAAGTCAACCTCTCTATTAAGTAGGTTTCAAGAGCTTAATGAATTTATACAGCAGTTTTCATATAAACTTGATTAAAGGCCCATTATGCCTAAGAAATGATTTCATCTTAAAGATAACAGAACAGAACAGAACTGAATAGAAGGTTTATTTCGTCGTATGAATGGTACAGCATATAGACATGTACAAACAAAATGTACTTACAATGCATGGCAATAATTTTCTTATATCAATTATACATGTTATAATATTTACGAGAGTGTTGTTCATTTAATTTGTTTATTTTTCTATTTTGTTGTTAATTATTTGCTTTTTAATTGAATTTAACAAATATAATGTGATATTATGGAGTAATCGTTTGTTCTCTGTTTTTGTAAGTTCAACAAATTTGATCATACTAGGTCAAACGATGCTATTTCTTCCTTAACAGTATTGTTGCATTTCCTGTTCTTTGAACATTTTGACGTACACTGTTTGGTTTTAGAAAAGAAGAAGAAAATAATATGAAAAAATCTATTCAAATATTTTCCATATGTTATATTAACAAGCTCTTGTGAAGAAATATCTTCTTTGTCATCAAGCATTTTGAGGAAAAATACATCAAAATTAGTTTTCTCTGATATTCATCTTTCTAAGTACCAATACTGTACAATAAATACGTGTGTTTTACAATGAATATAACGTTTACATAGTAAACAAATTATTATAGTTAAAGTATTGCTTTTAAAAAGTTAGCAGTAACAAAATGTAAAAATGTTAGCAATCTGCGAAACCAGGAATTATGTTGGACTTCGTCGTGTTTTAAAACCTGCAACAACAACAACTCAATCACCCCCACACCTACAAACAATGTCATGTTCATTTTTACAAGCAGTGCTCCAAAAAAAATCCGGAGAAAAAGAGATTTGATAAATAGATAAATAAATTACTCTATCACTGTTTTATGTCATGATAAGAGAAAGAAAGGAAATAAAAAAAAAGACCGGAGAGCAGCTGTTCTTTTAGTAACGGCACTTAAAAACCAATGCATATTTCAAAACGATACAATTTTCAAACTGTATTATACCGTATTTTTGTCTGGCGAATTACCGGTCAATGAATATTAAAATGATACAGAACTAATATCACATTTAAGCGTATTAATTATGTATGTAATAAATGTACGTGAAACGTGTTGCAACAAAGTACTGTACTATATCGGCAAATTTGAGGATATTAGTTTAAACATATTTTAGAGCATCAAATACATGTCAAATATTGTACAAATGATGAGTATATAACAAAAAGCAAATAGGTTGGACAGCAAGTTCTAGCCACATTAGTAGCGATAAATTTAATAGAAAAATAATACTTTCAAGGCAACAATGATTACTATTAGCATGTATATATAACGATTTGCCATCCTGATCTCAAATTAGCAGTGATAATTAGCTGCTGAATTGTAGTTTAGGTTTTAGAGAATGAGGTTTTTGGATATTTCTCAAATTCAAATTCTTTATTTCTCTCAGTGCATCATACATGATACAAACATAAGGTATATAACAATTAACATTAATTTTGTAAGAACAGCAGTACGTACATGGCAAGTCATTTACAGAGAACAATCACAAAACATAAAAAAAGATTTACCATCTATTGTTTGTTTTTATTTTTTCCTTTCGTTCAGTAGGGAAGTAATTTATTAAGTGTAATTAATATATATAAAGTACATTTTCAATAAACATCTGATATTTAAATAATATTTGACCTCGTGCTATTTATAGTCTGAAATTAACATCAAAAGGTGTCTATTTCATATAGCAAGCTTCTGGCACCTGTCATATACATGTTTAATATCGGGCAAACGATAGTCTTTGTTTTTAGGAGTGCAGTCAGATTTCAATTGACAGTGAATTTAAATTTATCGAAATTTGTGTCGACTGAAATGTTAACACATTCTTTGCGGTGTTTATTAGTTTCCTTAATTCACCTTAATTCACGGACCTTTAGTTGCGTGTTAAGATGTTTCACGTTCGTATTCTTACGCGGTTTTTAGTTACTCACGGATTTATTTCTGTTGGGACTAAGCAGTGTTCTAATTAGTTTTTAAGCTTGGATTAAGTGATTTCGGATATATTGCATTAGGAATTTGGTGAAATGGCTGTATGTACAGAAAGCGGTGAAATGGCTGTATGTCCAGAAAGCTTGTGGTGGAGTGCTGTTGTCGTAAGGGAAAATGTAAGTGTTAAAATTTTATTGTTAATATCATAGATATAGGGTTGTTTAATCGTTTCTTAGTTTATTAATTTTGGTTTTGTTTTCAAAAACTTTGAAGTTTTTGAGCTTTTCCTAATGTCTGTCGTATCGATTTAACTTCTAATCAAAATTGCTTAAGTTAATTCTCAATGCTTAAAAATTACATTTAGCATAAAAACATCATCATAAAATATACATATACAATAGGTTCTTGACCATTTTCACAAAAATTCCTGACACAAATACACATCATATAAATTTTGCCAGCTGCCACACATATACTGTATTTATAAATACAACGGAACGGCCACTTAGCATAATAAACTGGTGTAACATTTACGCGTCCTTAGAGCATCATGTCTCTATAGAATCATTTATATATATAAATCATGTAAATTGCTAATTAGATTAAACCGAGCCTGTGGCATTTAAAATCCTCTTCAATACATTATCTCGGAAATGATGCGCATGGAATATAGTTCTAACACGTAACTTATATGATTTCAAATTCACGAACTCAAGATTTCAAATTCATGGATTCACGATTTCAACTTCACGAAATCGTGCGACATTTAACGTTACTATTGCGACATTTATCGCCAGAAGATTTTGCGATATTTAGCGGCAACTGTGCGTCATTCCGTGGCGTTGCGTCATAACGAAGTATCCTCTTTTGTTTATCCATCATAAAAAATTGATTATCATGCGGACAAAGAAAACATTTGTACGTATCTTTATATCGAAATATATCAAATGATATAAGAAGAATATCAATGCATTTCATAAAATAGAAAAAAGAATGATAAATTTATATAGAAATAAATAATATTCTTCTTTGGGTTACATTATTTTGATGTACATAATGTATACAATATTTGGTTTCGATAAGATGTATCGCAAAGATAATACCGCCCATTCTGGTGGTCTTTTAATTTACGTGTCCTCTGGCATTTACTCAAAAAGAATTTTAGAATTAGAAGTTATTTTACCTGAATCTATTTGGCTGGAAATTAAAACGGAATTTAAAACGTATTTACTCTGTAATTTATAAAGGCCACCTAACGCAAGCGTTGAAATTTGGGATAGGATTAATATTAGTATGGAAACTGCACTAGAAACTTGTAATAATATTATATTAGTTGGCGACTTAAATGAGGACCAACTCAATTCAAACAATAACAAATTGCGTAATATACTTCTTTTAAATAATATGGAAAATGTTATATCTGAAGCCACTAGAATTACTCCTTACTCGCAAACTCTATTAGATCCTATTGGAATGTCGTCTTCTTTAGAATGTTTATTCTCGGGTGTTTATAATACAGACAAGTTAATCAGTG